TGTTTTAATGAATTAAGCCGCCTTGGGTTCTTTTGGGAAGAAAGGCAGGAGGCAAATATTTTAAAATAATAATAGTCATTAAGTGCAGCTAAACCCGCACCGGATTCTCCCAACAGGAAGAGGCGGAATCCGCCAAGAGTCGTCCTGACTTCCATCATGGCAACGGGCCGTACAATGAGGTCAACATCCCCGGGTGCTGGTTTTTCAGGTTGCCTCACAAGGTAAGTGTGAAGTGACTTCAGCAAGGTGCTCCTTGTTCTTGTTGGGAATGAGTGGTTAGCTGAATTTAACAAGCCTCGTTTGTGATAGGCGGTTGATGTTTCACCCACACAGTCCTCTTCTTTACACACTGGTCATCAGATAAACACACACCCCCTTTCTTTTCTGTCACAAGGATGGGAGCAGCAACAATGTTGGCAGCCCCTTTGCCAAGGACTTCCTGCCCAAGATGGAGGATGGCACTCTAGAAGCAGGCATCGGGACCACAGACGGTACTCGAGCTCTTGAAATCAACAAGAAGATCTCCTTCTGGCGAAATGCCCAGAAACGAATCAGGTGAGGCCCCCCTCCACTCCCAAATTCAGCTGCAGGATTGCGTGGTCTTGCAGCTGTCTCTTCCTGATTACTGAGTTTTGAGGTCTCCAGTCTCCCTTCCTCTCTCTGGTTTCACATTCTGTTTCCCAAACCTCAGCACATCTGCTTCTTTTGCCATTAGCTTTTCAGCATACACGCTTCTTGCCAAACATCATTATTTTAATTTCCCCCAAAAAAATGTTGGACAGTAAAATGCAGTTCGGGGCATGCACAGCTGGAGAGCTTACCCTAACTGTATTTTGGAGTTCATGTATAACAAGCTTGGGTGAATTTTGCAAATGCCCAGCAATGAAATGTAGCCTCCCTCCTTTTGGGACCTATATAAACGTATTGTAGTATTGCTCATCATAGTATTTAGGATGGTGGTTTAATTTAAGAAATTGCCATATAATATTCCTACAGCACTGGCAGCAGTTACACAAATTCTGAATATTATCAGTCTCTCACACAGTGCACATTCATGCCCACACACAGAGGTATATGTAACAGCAAGTGTTCGAACTGTGGATAATGTTTTTTCTTAATGCTACTGTGTAGATTAGATCGAGAGACCTAAGATCATTTGGTTAACTTGGGAGACATATAACAATAGCTGAGCACAATTTTCCAGCCCGTTCCTTATGGTTCAAGCCCACTACCAATCATTACGTAGGAGGTTGACATGGAGTATGTCAAGGGAGGTGGGGACAGAGATGGTAAAGGATTTGGAACCTCATTGGCACAGTTGAGGGGGAAGGTTTAGGGTTAGCCTGGAGCAGAAAAGATGGGCAGTGGAGGTGAGAGCCATCTTCAGAGGTATGAAGGGCTTTGTGTAGTGGTTTCGTTCCGGTGGCTCCAGAGGGTGAGAGGCAAGCTTGTGAAGTCCACTGACAACAAGAGAGATTTCAACTAAACATTAAGAGGCGTTTCCTGACTGCAGGAGCTGTTTGGTCATGGAATGGACTGCTTCAAGGTGATGGGTTCTCCTTTATGGGAGGTTTTAAAACCAAGGTTGGACGGTCATCTGTCAGGGGCAGTTGAGCTGTGGGCGTTCTGCTTTAGATTAGATGATTCCAGGGGTCCCTTCTGGCTGGACAGTTGGACACGGAAAGGCTCCCAAAGGTTGTTTCTCCTCAGTTGTGAACAACACTCCTTACAGAGTTTCTGGTCACCATATAAAGGCAGGCCACTCACCTGCTCCTCCTCAGTTTACTGAAAAATTAGGGAAGAAAAACTTCTGCTTATGGGTGGCAGGAAAAATATGAAAGGTTCAGTCTCATGATGGGCTGTATAGCGCCATGGGTTAAGTGCTCCAAAAAAATCTGTTCCTGGGAGAAGTTAAAACTGGAGATCAAGCCTGCTCTCACAAGCAGGGATGGATTGAGGCAAAACCGTTAGTCTTGTCTTCTGCTCTATTTGCATTTCAACGTTACTTTTTCCTTCCCTGCCAGTTCCCAGATGGTGGTGTGGCTAAAGAAAGGAGAGCTGCCTCGATCCGTGACCAGGTACTTTAGTGGGCATTTTTTCCTGCCCAATGTTGCTGCTCTTATTTATGTATTTGCTGTTCTTTAGCTCAGACTTCACTCCTCTCTTTTCTAGGCACACAGACTATGACGAAGAGAACCGCTACGGGGCCATCTTGCCACAGGTGGTCACCGCTGGGACAATAACCCGTCGAGCTGTGGAGCCCACCTGGCTAACAGCGAGCAATGCGAGAGTATGTATATCCCGCCTATTAAAATTGAGATCTCTTCCTCCTCTCTCCCCCTCTCAGTTTCTCTGTCCCTTCTTTAATTGATAAATTGACAGAAACAGAAGCCACTTTGCAGAGACTTCATTAGTCCATCCATTCATTATTCAAAAGCCCATTGTCTTCATTCACTGTTTCTTCATTTCTGGCGTCGATGCCGAGGTCTAGTGCCGAGCCGAGCATGTTGCGTCTGTTCGGCTGCAGTAGCTGCGCATGGCAGGCATATATCAATAGTTGTGCGTCTCTTATCAATAAAAGTGGTAAGCAGCTTGGGTCGATGCCGCCTGAAACAAGTTGCTTCCTCGCACTCTCTGGCAGGGCAACCCGAGGTTCCTGCGCAGAATCAAAATATACATGTTTCTTAAACTGCAGACTGTTAAAAAAAAGAGAGAAAGAAAAGTTTTTAAAAAGTGGAAACGGAACAGATAGAGCAGTGTAAAGGGAGCTCATTTACCGCCGTGGTGGTTAAGATAAAATAAAGTAACAAAAATTCTATGGTTCCACTTGCTCGGAGTGGAAGCCTGCCATCTGGCAAAACAGTGTCATGGAAGGGAACTCTTTAAGGGAGGCAGAGGGGTTGATTGAGGAACGTGGTGAGAACAGAAAACATGAATCCGCGTTTTGCAGGCTGACCGTGTGGGCAGCGAGCTGAAGGCCATGGTTCAGGTGCCACCTGGCTATCACCTGGTCGGGGCCGATGTCGACTCCCAGGAACTTTGGATCGCTGCTGTCTTGGGCGAAGCGCATTTTGCTGGCATGCACGGTGAGTGGCTCCATTCCCCGCAGCCCTCCCTTCCTCGGTATCTGGCAGTCAAAGATAGACCACCTGCGAACATGGAAGTTCTGCTTCACCATCACCGCTAGTAGCAAACGATACCTTTCTGTCTTCCCCACTCTTTCCTCTCCCTTCCTTCCTTAAAGGCTGTTTGTAGCAGTTATACACTGAATGTTGTTGAAATGTTGAAATTAAACTGCATGGGCGAGATTTCTCTTATTTTGCTTGGCTTTGTCCCATTTGTTTCAGGGGAGAGATGAGGTGGTATAATTGTGTGTGTGTGTGTGTGTGTGTGCTAGTAGCAAACAATACCTTTTTGTCTTCCCCACTCTTTCTTCTCCCTTTCAGGGGGGAGATGAGGTGGTATAATGGTGTGTGTGTGTGTGTGTGTGTGTCTGTGTCTGTGTCTGTATATGTGTGTGTGTGTGTGTGTGTGTGTGTGTGAGAGAGAGAGAGAGAGAGAGAGAGAGAGAGAATATATACTTTTGTCAGGCATCTGTGTAAGAATAAAACTAGAGTCCCTTAATATATATATCCTTTTGTCAGGCATCTGTGTAAGAATAAAACTAGAATCCCTTTGTATTAAAAAATAAAACTCTGAGACACTGAGCTGAAGTCTGCATCCCATGACTTTTTTTTTTGCTCACACATGCACAAAATGGCAAATACAAATTAGTCTCTCTCTCTCTCTCTCAGGTTGCACAGCGTTTGGCTGGATGACCCTCCAGGGGAAGAAGAGCAACGGCACAGACTTGCACAGCAAAACCGCCTCCACTGTTGGGATCAGCCGAGAACATGCCAAAGTGTTTAACTACGGGCGTATTTATGGGGCCGGGCAGCCCTTTGCCGAGCGCCTTCTCATGCAGTTCAACCACCGCCTGACGGAACAGCAGGCCAATGAAAAGGCTCGGCAGATGTATGCCGTCACCAAGGGCATTCGGCGGTAAGGCTCTTGGCAACACATCACCCACTGTTAAAGTTGTCGGATATTGTCTGGTGGAAACTGGAAGTGCACATTTTGATTCAGTCCAAAATCCTGTTGATCACAGACACTTTGAGTGAACCGGATTGATATACTTGTAAACAAGTCTGTTTTAATTTAAAACTTAAGTCCGAATAAAAGCTAAAGAAAGTAAGTGCTACATGGAGAGAAGCTTTCTGCTTAGGTTTTGAGGTAAGAATGGTGGCTTTCCTCTCCTCAGTGGATGTCCTATTGCAGCACCTGCACCAGCCCCCTTGGCAAGGAAAGTGTGTCTTTTTTCCTGGAAACCATGGCTTCTCTTCATGTGCAGACATGTGCCTGCGATTAATGTGGATTTGTGTCATTACAGTTTATTTATGGGACATGCCAGGAAGGAACATGTCCATCTCTGCAGCTTATTCAGGACCTTGAGAAGTTCTGTTTTAACCTCAAGTTTGCTTTTCCAAAGAAAAGGTGTTCAGCAGCGAGTGACCCACACAACCGCGGCAGCCTTCCCTATTCATAAGGGAAAATGCTGGGAAGTTTGGCATGCTGAAAGATGGACTGATTGATACTTCAGTGCGCTAAGACTGAGGCCTTGATCAACCTGGCTAAGGGCTTGGAACAGGGAGGAAATGGGGTGAAAATGTTATATATTGAGAACAAGAAAGGTCTTTCCGGCCCAGAGCGTGTGATTTAGTTTCCAACAATTCACCCCAGGAGCCATTTGCTGTTCTTGGGAAACCTTCCTGCATTGCATTTTCTTGGCTCCAGCTGGTAGGAGATGCTTTGCTTTAAAAGCTGTGCAAGATAACCTTTGTGGGACTTTTCCTTCCATCCTTTTCATTGTCCATTTCATCCTCCTCTTGTAGCTGCCACCTGTCGGAGGAAGGAGAATGGCTGGTGAACGCGCTGGGCATCCCCGTGGAAAGAGGGGAGGATGGCTCCGTGTCCTTGGAAGACATGCGGAAGATACGTAAAGAAGCAAGGAGACGGTATCGGGAGGATTTTGATTTTTGTGATAGCTGGTTATGCTCTTTTAACCACAGAAACAAAATAAAAATTACCAAACATCTGTGCCAGGTTTAAGACTAAAAACACAGGATGGCACGTGGACATTTTGCTCAGTTTTCCTCATTGGGAGTGCAGGTGGAAGGGTCTCTGGGGGTCATTCAAGTTTGATTTCTTCTCACTGCTGTTCATATCCACCCATCTTTGTGGCTTCTGGGATTCACCTGGAATTTCCCACCCATTTAAGAATCTGCTTTTGCCATCAAAGGGGCTAGAAACTTTTTTTAAAGTGGAAACAGAAGTTCTTAGGAAGCTGAAACGGATGCTTCATAAAACCTCACAGAGCATTTATCCACATACCACACCCTTTTTTTTCAACAGCGACAAAAGTAAAATCTGTTGTGCTTTGCGGAGATGTAAGATGCCATTAAAGGGCCTTTTCTGTGATGGTCGTTCCCATCCATAAAATACCTTCCCATCATGTACTTGGTTGATTAATATTATTTTTAAGCATGAGGTGACAGTGGTTTCACTCTTGCAGACTTTTTAAATCACTTTAAAAGCCACATATCAGGAAGCGTCCTTCACCAGCCCCGCTTTGTTTTTGCGTAAGATGTATTCGTTTCTGTATCGTTTTGCTGTGATATTTGACTCGTCAGGTCTGTGGCATTCCAGGAGAAGATACACAGTCACTTGATTGTTTTTTCCCCCCTATTACTCCAAGGATTTTTCTAGGCCCTGGCCTGTTCACAGATTTGATTTGCTGAAGCGCTTCCCTTTTCTGCTTGCCTTTCTGTGCTGCAGACGGCACCCTCAGCGAGTCCACCTCTCAGCCCTCTTCCTTTTTCTCCCAGGTCTCCCAAGAAATGGAATGTGGTGCGCCAGCAAGTGTGGGCCGACGGGACGGAGTCTGAAATGTTCAACAAGCTGGAAAGCATCGCCATGTCAGACTCTCCCTCCACCCCTGTGCTGGGCTGCCGCATCAGCAGAGCGTTGGAGCCGGCCGCTGTCAAGGGAGAGGTGTGGCATTCATTGGACTCCTTTTCAGTCACATTTGTCAAAGCATTGATATGGATGCAAGTTTGTGTGTGTGTGTGTGTTTTTTTTTTCCTTGATGGGGTTTACTCCACAGAGCACACAGGAGCTTCTTTAATTTATCTCATATCATTGTGTATGCTGAGAGAGGACAGGATGTGGTGTTCTCTCCCCCCCCCCC